GTTAATAAATAATATTTTCTTAAGCAGGAGTACTTATTTCTCTAAGCTCTTTTTGAAGAATAAGAGGCTTTAGCATCTTTAGTTTAGCCAACCAAAATGGGATTTTGGCTATTCTTCAACTTAGTTGGGTTTTCTAATCTTACCAAGATTGGTGATTCACCTTAATGGGGTTTTCAACCTCGCCACGATTGATGTCCTTCACAATGCCCCGGCATCACATATTATAATTCTAGCTGCCAATATTCTATTCTCTTTTGTAAGTAAGTGTATAAGGCTATATTTATAAGAAACAGAAATTGTGGGAAACAAGAATAATTTTTCAATATGAAACTCAGCATACCATGAACCTAATCTTCCTAGCAATAACTTAATCTGAAAAATTCTTATGGTATGACTATGTATCTTGTTAATTACCCATAAAATACTTCTCAGATACTTGTTCTTGTATTTTTTTTCCCCCTCTTTCATTACCATTCTTTGTTTGAAAGATTTTTAATACTCATAGTCCTTCATAAGGTGGAAATTTGACATTTGATTGATCTCTCAACACCCCTACTTCCTTTAGGATGGAAAATGGAAGGGAGGGAAGAAGGTGAGGAAGGGAAAAGGGAAGGAAAGGGAGGGGTATTGTTCTCTTCCTCATGTTTGGTACAAGAGAGTGACAATGGATGGAAAGAAAAGAGATAAGAGTAAATTTGTAAATAGAATGTTTAATGTTGGTTAATGAGTTTCCACTTTCCTTACTTCAGTCTTGAACTTTGAGGAAGTGAAAAAATGCAGTGCCTACCTGTTTTCCTTTGCTCTTCCATTTTCCTTCTTACCAAACAGTCTTCATTCTTAATCCAATATCATCTCTCACTTTGCAGACTAATGCATTATGAATTTCAACCTATTTAATAGGCTGACTTACATGCATTCAATTTGTAAACTAGGTGATCTTGCTATGTCTTTGGACGTGGATGAATGTTTACTTATAATTTATTAGTTTGATAAGCTTGGTGATGGGCTTATGTAGGAAAAATGGATCCTCAATCTTGGCAATTGCATAGAGACATTGCTTTCTAGTTCAAGCCTATCTTTATGTATTTAGCTTATACTTTTCATGTTGCTGACTAATGCATTTATACTCTGAAGTCTCTAATCTATATTTAACAAGAAGCTGTTGGGGCATGCAATCCATTAAATTTGTTCAGAGTAAGGAGAGATTTATAAGCCATTTGTGAAATGGATGAAAATGTTGAGCTAATTCGTCAGTTCTAACGCTTTGAGTCTAGGCATCACAAATACTACATTAGTAAGAGATGAGATAGGTTTTGAGTTTATAAGGGCCTTTCTCCACCTACTAGGCATGTCTTTTGAGTAGGAAATCTGTGACAAATGGTATCAAAGTTTTCTTAACTTTTAATTGATGAGAGGTCTTATGAGAGATATCAGGGTCGAGGTAGGCTCGGATCGAGGTGAGTCTTTTTCTTATATGGGTGAAAAAGTCGGTGCAATGAGGGCAGCGTATAATTGGGTGAGTTAGAATGTCATGGAGTTGCATAATTGAGTGGAATAGAATATTATGGATCTCGCATCAATAAGAGATGCGATGCATCTTAGACTTAATAAGTATGTATTTTGAATTCAAAATGTGAGTCCTTGACACACTTGCATACTGTTGCTGCATTCTTGTTCAAGCATGTTTTATAGTTTATACTTGCAGGCAAGTCAGCCTGTGTCTGTAAATACTGTAACGTTTCATTGATCTTACTGATTCAAGAGTTTTAATATCATTTACTTTTGTGCAAGGTGTAGAACAAGCAACGAGGAAATCAAGGATGAACAGAAGATGGGTTAGTTCTTGTTCTCTGTATTTGCCAGGTCCCAGATGAAGGCAAATAGAATCCAGTGCTTTTGTTCGCTTTGTGGAGCATTTCATTTTTCTAGTTTGTCGTGTAAACAAATACTAATGTTTGTAATCTGACTTCCTTCTCCTGCATGTATATTGGACTTTATCTGACTGGTTAATTCATTCTCACTTGTCAACTATAATTCTTTGGCAGAATCAATGTTGGCTAAGCTTATAGTAAGAAGAGAAATGTAAGAAGCTTCAATGAATATTACCTTTTCTTATAGAGAATCGAAGTCTGCATTAACATGTACATTTCTCATTAATACTTCGAATAAATAGTCCTATTGATTCTGTTTGTGATTTGTAGGGGAAAAACTGCACAAATTACACCCTATGCACATTGACTTTTCAAAAGTTGAGGTCAAGAATTGATAAGAAATAAATAATTAGCAAATTATACACCTGCAGTTTTGTTCATGTTTTCCAAGGACACGACAGCACCAGATCTTCGCTCATCTGATGATTGGGAATGTGACATTAGAATGTATATGACCCAAAAGTGAAGGCATACAAGGTAGACCAGAGCCCATAGTTTTGCTGTTGCATTTCTTCTTAAAAATATTGCACCAGCCACAAATATAGCATCCAACTGCATAAGCAATGATCCAAGTTGCCGTCTGCCGGAACGAATTTTGTCCTCGAGCAGAGGCTTCAACTTCGAATCAGAAAGATCCCATGCTCCTGACTCTAAATCACTTGATGAGGCATCACTCGTATTCATGGACTTGCTCTCATCCAGCATCCTTGAAACCGCCTAAACAAGTTCATAAATGCAAATTACAAGATCTGCTGTTTAGTTGTGAACAATTGTAATGCTAAACATTCATAAAATATGTACCTCAATTCTAAACAACAGTGTTGCCTTCTCTGAGGAGAGGGCCTCAACCTGCAGAAACCAAAAGAGTGAAAGAATAAATTTTTGCAAAAACCATTGCTATTTGATCCAGTGAGGTGCACAACACATGAAGTAACCCTTCCATATCAATTTGTTTATTTGTGTGACTAGACAAGCAAGCATTTCAACATTTGATACTGGTGTTTCTCAATTGAATTATTGCAGAGAGATGCTTGAGGTCAGTATTCCACAGATTTTGGCACATGACCACTTCATATTTGGAGTCAAACTTCATTGTTCCTCGGCTACTGTTTCAACACAGTTGGTCATCACAGGCATGCTATACTAAAGTTAAAAAGTTTATGCTCTCTGTGCAAGGCGCCAGGTAAAGTGGAGACCTCATGTGCGGCCTAATTAATAGCAGTTAATAGGAGAAAGTAAGTCTCCTTTCCTTGATTCACATCTCCAAGCTTAAAACTGAAAACATAGATGTGACTTGAAGGTTTCAAAGGTTCACTCTGTCCCTTGCACTTAAGCACCTGAACACTTGATGACTTACTAGACAGGGAAAACATAGAAGTGATACTAATTAACCAGAACCAATCACATGTACAATGTTTGGAAGATAGACCTGGGCTTGTTTCTGAATTAAATGATCAGTCAGCTGTCCAAGCCTTCGCTTCAGCTCAACTTCTACCTCTGATGGGTCCTCCATCTCTTTCCTTGTCAATTCAATGCTTGCTTCCAGTTGTCTCGCCTGTTTGTAACAAGCAAATCAAATTGACATATCAAACCTAAAACAGTGCATACATACTAACAGACAAGGCTAAAATACTAAAAAGTCCTTGTACTTTCCCAAATTTTCACAAATAAGCCCTTATCTTTTTATTGCTTTCAGTTGAGCCCTTACAGTAATATTTTTATTTAATAGAGCCTTTATTTGGATGGAAACTGATAAATTCGTTATCTTTGCTGCATCAATGTCTACATAAATGTTTTCTCTGCCACATCAGAGTCTACATGGTACATAAGTGACAAAATAAGGACTATATAGAAGCTATAGTGCGGCATGCCTGTAAGCCGGTGCTACATGCCATATAAACACCAACTCAGCATGAATTTTCATATTTTGCCACGTAAGTGCTGATGTGGCCAAGATAACAACCATATAAGCATTTGCATGGTAGAGATAACGAATTTTAATGGGTTTCATCCAGAATAATAGCCTAATTAAACAAAATTAGTATTTTATGGGCTCAAATAATTAAAAAAAAAAAAAAAGAGCTTATTTGAAAAATTAGAGAAAGTACATAGCTTTTCTAATATTTTAGCCAATAAATAAAGGAACTAAGAGTTAGGTGTCTCAAGTAAACTGACACCAACTCAATTTGTGAATTAACATAAACACCACAAAATATAATAAAAAGTATATTAAATAAACAAGGGATATATATGTCCATTTGGACACGTTCTTTTTAAATAGATGTTCTCTCTAACTTTGGCATTTGACACATTTATAACCTTTCTAACTAATAAATAGTAACAAGTAGGGATTCTTTTGTGCACACAACCTTTCTCACAACTCCCAAGTACCAATAACCGTTAGCACTTTCTTTCTCCTGCAGCAAAAACAAATATTCTTCTCCACCTCTTTTTCTACATTGAAAGCTTGCTGCTTTCTTTTATGGATACCAATTAAGTAGTACTCACTAAAGGTATGTTCACATTTTCTTCATTAAAATTTTTTTTTATTGCATTAGCTTCTTAATTCCTTTTTTTTTCTAAGCTTCAACTCTTCCTTCTAAAATCTCTACAAGTAACTTATTTAACTATTAATCCTCATTTTTAACTTGTCGGCAATCAAAGAAACAAGGTACTCTTCATTTGTTTTATATCTTTAACATTTTTTGCCATTTTTACAGAAAATCATTTTTTTAAAATTAAATATGATAATTACTTATTTCATTCTTCTATTTTTACACCTATACAGCCATCAAACAAAATTAGTTGCACATCTTTCAACTATTGACACCACCATCAAGGTAAATCAATGTTTTTTTACCCCAAAAATATTTGGTTCTGTATTTTGCCATTCCTAAAACTTTTTCCTTTTACTGCTGGAAATAAGTTTTGATGCTTTGCTTCTAATTTATACATCAGTATCTAATGTCATCTTTTAATTTAAGAGTTGTTTGCTATATGGATATGCAATGCTTAATTTTCCCAAAAAAAATTCCTTTCACAGGCTTACCTTCGCTTTTGTAGTGCTATACTCTTTATTTACTAAGAAAAATGACTACAGTATATTTTGAGTTTAGTGATACCAACTTACTTACTAAAACTAGAATTAACACTCCTTATGTGGGTTTAAGAAGGGGAAAGTGGAAAGAAGAATTTTTAAAAATAAAGAGGAACTTTGTTCCTTTTAAGTGCAAGCAAACAAAAAAAAAACCGTTTTATTAAGAAAATCAATTTAAAAGTGAGACTCATTCAATTTAAAAGCACTACAATAATTAATTTAATTAAATACAAAAGAAAGCCCACAAAGGAAATTTTCTTAGGGCAAATTAAGCATTGCGTTTCCATGTCGTGTACAACAACTCCTATATATTAAGAGATGATATCACGATGCTGTTGCATAAATTAGATTTGCATCAAACTTGTTTTAAACAATCAAGAAAAATGTAAAGGAATGCAAAAGACAGAACCAAATATTTTTGGGAAAACAAAAATGTTGACTTACCTTGGTGATGTTCAGCTAATTATATAATGACTGTAAAGCTAAAAATGACAAGAACAAAATAACTTATCATCATATTTCGTTTAAAAATCATTTTGCAAAGAAAGATATTAAAAAATACCTAGTACTGTCAAAACAAAGACCTGCATAATTGTGGTTATTGAGGATTCTTTCATTGCAAAGAAGACAAAAGGAAGGATTGATGGTTTAAAAAGTAAGCAAGCTGATCTGCAGTAGAGATTCTAAAAGGAGTTAAAACTTGAAAATACAAAAAGGAACGTTGTGTTGTATCCAGAGAAAACAACTACTGTTGTTTAACCCACAAAGCTTATAGTCTAAAATCTACTACAGTTTCCATCATTCCAATAATCCAATGGCACATTTATTCTTAATGAACTAATGAAACATAATTAAATGTATAAGACATTGTCAAGGTACCATAACCAGCCCTTATATAAACTGCTTTTGGCTGTATTTCTTTCTCACGTTTGCAAAGAAAAGGGAGTGAACCTGCAAATTGGATAGCTGCTATTACCAGAAGAGTTTATGTCCTTTTGACTGATTCTTTTTCTCCTCCCACTAGTGGAAAGTGATTCTTCTATTGCACTTTAGTGGTGCTATTGTTGGCCTTTGGCCATTTGTAATATACGAAAAATAAAATTCTCCTCACCGTATTTTTGACTTTACGATTCCAAAATGAAAAATAAATATTCAAGATTGAGAAAATGTAGAAGCTGATGCGATAAAAAGAAAATTTGATGAAGCAGAACATGTGAACATACCTCTCATAAGTATTAATTACTTGGTATCCATTAAAGAAAACCAAAAAAAGAAGGAAACTTTCAGCATGGAAAAGGAGATGAAGGTTTGTTTTGATTGCAAGAAAAGGAATGTGACAACAAAGGTTGGAGGTGTTGGAACTTGGGAGATGTGAGAAGGTATGTTCACATTATGTAGGTTGTGTGTTCAAAAAAATATCTACCGACCTGTTACAAGTGAAGAAATGGAAAGGTTATAAAAGTAATTTCCCCAAGAGTGGGGAAACAAGGGAGAATGTAGGTCAGATGCGTAAGGTAGAGAGAACATTAACTTTTTTCTTTGAAGCTTGTGTCCAAATGTAGATAAATACGCCTTCTGTATTGTACTTTTTCTTATTTTTCTGTTGTTTATGTAAATCCACAAACTGAGCCAGTGTCACTTGACTTGTGACACCAAACTCAATTAGTCCCTTGGTATACTGTTATAGATCAACAAAAATCTAACAAACAATAAAATAACAGATAAAAATAGGGTAATATCGGTCATTTGTCTTCCGAAATTCAGGATAGAGGACCATTTCTCAGTTCTTAATTTTTACATGCTGTTAAAAAGGAAAAACTAGCTTTTAATTTTAAAAAATATTACCTTTCCACTTTCCCAGGTGCGTCACAAAATCTAGTATTAAATAGATCAGTCTAAATATCAAAAGTAGAAATCAATTCTTGGAGGATAAATGACCCTATCTGAAGTTTAAGAATATCAATACTACAGCTGAAATGGTGCTAGCTATTATTATTTGAAATGTTCATAGATAGTTTTTCTTATTTGAAATGTTTATAACAGCCATGGATTAGCACTATCAAGCTTAGGGATTTTGATCTCTATAACTCTTTTCTTACTTGCCCTTTTAAGTGGAAAAAGAAACCAGCAGCTAACCATGGTCTAACTGAATGATCAAAGCTAGTTCATTGCAAACTTATAGAAAATTGTGTGTTTGTGTGAGTGTGTAGATAGGTAGGAAGAAAGAGACAGAGGAAAGCTAACCTTGTTCTGCAATCGCCCAATTTTATCAGTGACAAGAGAGTACTCCGCTTCAAGGATTTCACGTTCAAATTCAATTCCCTTTGAAGCTACTAACTACAACATTTTAAAATGAAAAGATTACAGAGAAGATTATCCTAAAAACCTATGAGCAAAGTACTTTTGCTGAAAATGCCAAATTATAGCATTCTTTTCAGTCTCTATTTATAGAAAAGTATGACATAAGAAACTATTTAACTCACTTGGTTCAGATAAGTTCCACTCTGGTGACTATTGGAGATCCTCCTCTTGAGTTCTACAAGGTTAAAAAGAAATATCCATAACTTGTAAAGCCAGATATAAATAAGCCACGGAAATTTCAAGGTAGCATTAATCAAGAAATTGCATATGACCATCCCTACAACCTGCAACGCAGGAGTCTTGTGCACTGCATAGCCCATTTAATAATTATGCAACATTTTGTTGTCCTCAACAATTACGAGGCATAACTAAAATTGGCTTGTATCAAATTCTTACGTGTGCAGCAAGCAACATCATTAGTCATTATGATATCTAAAAATGCACTTTTAACATCCTCATAACTTATAGAAAGACATTACTAATAAATAATACCAAAATAGTTAGTAAGCATAATTAGTAATTAAAAAAAAAAGAAATCTGAGGAAAGAAATAAAATCCCAAACTACTATCCATAAAAGGAAAAAAACAGCTGCTCATAGGTGTGTCTAGGACTTTCCTCCCAACCCCACAATAAGTAAAAGAACATCCTCAGAATTACAGCTAATTGTCTCCTTGTTCTTTGTTCAGTTCTTTTTGAAGATTTTCCTATCTGTCTTGTGTAATTGGTCTTATGCATTGGCAATTGGCACTTTGGAAAGAACTTTAACATAATGGCTTAGTCTTACATCAAGAGCAGCTCAACCTAAAGTTCATGTCTGTAAGAAGTTCCATTGATTTCTTTCATAACGTCTAGCAACCAATTAGCTCCAAAAAAATACTGTTTAATGTGCCATTTTCTGTTGATCAACCATTAAAGGATAACTAGTCAAAATCCTAGGACAACTCATCTTGCAACAATAAATATTTATTCTCTTCTGTTCTTTTTTCCTGAAACTCATTTAAGGCAAGTGGTTTTATTTGTTTTCTTCTCTTTTAACTCTTTATTGTGGGTTGGAGTACGAAGGGAGAAGAGATTCTTCCGCATTCTTTCAAGAAACTATAATCAGATCCAAATAATAAAATAGATACCTTCATGGGCTGCTTCTTTCAACTCAATTTGTTGTCGGAGATCTGCTACTTGATTGATCTGATCCAGAAAGCAAAAACATAATGAGCACCATATACAAGGTTATGGAAAGATGAGATCAGAAATGCTATCATTCTGATGTTAGTTACATTTAGAACATATCTATATATTCTGGAGTTGTCTATTTACTATTAATAAATTGTTGAGAACTGAGTAAGAACTAAAGAACCAAGCCCATAGAATGGACAAACTATGTATAATCTATTAATCTACAAATAAGTTGATACATTTCATATTGCCATCTATCACAGATTGAACAATACAAAACAACAGTGTTGGTTTTCTTTGTTCTTTTCTTATTCTCTTCCTATACCATTATCTTCATTGTGCTAAGTTCAAAAACAAGCATGGTTCAGAAAAAAAAAAAACAAATGGATGAAAATCCACATTACGTAGAAACTAATGACACATTGTACAAATAGCAAAAATTTTTTCTTCCAAATAAAAACTGCAATAAAGGTGAAAGGGATAAGTCCAACCAGACAATTAATAGTAAAATTTTATTATACCTCCACTTCAAGTTTCTTCTGAGCAGTAGCAAGTGATCTTGCAAGATCAGCATTTGTGGTCTGCAATTACTAATGATATTTAGAAAGAAAAATTTCCAGCCAAAAGCAATAGACCAACAAAAATATTGAGAAAACTGTATAAGAAAATATGAAGCAGCCATCTGAACCCATTTTTGCAGCACCTCTAGCTTAGCCAATCGCTGGAGGGCTTCCATTCTAGTATTATTATGTTTCTGCTTTTCTAGCTCAACAGCTTCCATCATTTCCATCATAGTTGTCTGCAGCTCTGAAGCCTGATACAAGTAAGAAGATAATGATTCATTAGTGCTAGAGTAGAAGACAACTTCTGCTGCAGAACAAGGAAGGAGAAAAGAAAGAGAGAAACAGAGGATATAGGGAAAATATGAGAGAAAGTGGGAGAAGCAGAGGAACTTTTGGTAGAATACAAAAAGTAGGGATGAAACTCAGAGTAATAAGACAAAAAGAAAAAGTAGGGATAGAATTCAACACTCAAATCTCAATATCCTTAAACCTAAACTGCTAGAAACAGAAATGACATATGCACTTATAGACTACTCTCAAAATCCTAACATTAAAACGAAATACCAAATATAATCCCGCATGCTCTAACAATAATTAAATCCATCAATAAGCATGATCTTGTTCCACATCAACTTTGTAGACATTCAGAACAATTGCAAGTATAAATTTGTGAGAGGAAAACTAAATGCGTACACCATTTAGATGTAGTTGAGGTGTAGCTACTAATCATTAATAAAAAAGAAGAGGAAAAGAAAATGTAGCAATGGCTACGATCCCTTTCCAATTCAAAGCATTTAAAGATGCATTAGTGCAAACATTGTTCCAGATGTTTCCATCCTTTACTATATTTTGAAGTATTTACTTATGTCAAGTTGCAGCTCTAGCTTAACAATTAAGGTAGAAGAGCTATTCAGATCATGAAGGCATAATGCTAAACTTGCTAATGCCCTGAGTTATGACCGGGTACTACAAAAAGGAAAAGGGGAGGGTTGAAAAGACCCGGGGGCAGGGGGGGGGGGGGGGGGGGGGTTGTGGGGTTGGTGGTTTTGATGGGTGTAGGGTAGTCTCTACAGAAGTCGTACATTCTATTCTTAACAATATACAGAATTTGTTGGGGCAAAGCCTGCGGCCTAAGTGTGTTGTTATCCATTGTTGCATGCCCACTCAATCTCATCCCCCAACAACCCAACCCCCCAAAAAGAATTGTATAATGCATTTTTTTTTTGCCCGTGAAACAAGCAAATTCCTTAGTTAAGTGTTTTAATTTCAAAGCCTATAAAAAATTTCCAAGGAAAGAAAATTCCTATTGTCAGAACAAAATGCTTTCCTTATCAATCTTAACAAAAGGAGAAGAAAAGAATGAGCCTGCATGCACATAATGCACGTAATATTGTAAAATGCTATGTAATGTTACCTCTTGTGCTTGTTGTTTGGCTCGTTCCTCAAGTATTTTCTCTAAGCTCTGCTTCTCACCCTCCAATCTGGCAACCATATTCTCTCGTTCTTTGATGGCTTCCACAGCTTTAGCTGCCGCTTTCTCAGCCAAAATCCTCTCCTTCCTCCTCCTCCTTTCCTCCCTCTCATGTTCACTTTCAGAGTCGGATGCTGAACCAGAATCTGAATCTGAATCAGAGCTTCCATCACTTGTTGACTGAGAGACCCTTTTAACATCATCAGAGACTGAACTTCTGGAGGCACCAATAGACTTGGATTTGCCACTTGCAGTTCTCAACTGATCGTGAGCATCAGCCATTCCTATCTTCACATCAGGTACCCCATCAGCTTTTCCCAATTCCATCATCTTTTGGAAAGAACGGTTCTTGTTTAGTGATCGTGAAAAGCCTTCCACATTGGACGAAAGGTCTTCTGAATCCAATTGCCAACCATTTTCCCGATCGATCTCATCTTTCAGTTTCACCTTAAAGCTTGCAGCAGTGTCCTTGTGATCTAGCTCCAACCCCTCAAAATTCTTACCATCATTCTGTATATCAACACTAGAAGGCCTCCCTGAAGAGCTAGACTCTTCCCCATCACTTGGCTTCCCATTCAACTTATTTCCCAACACAATATCCCGCTTCCTTACAGACTTAATCACATTAACATTACTCTTTTGATTCCTCTTTCCTTCCGGCACGGACAAACTTGACCCTAAATTCCCTTTCTTCCTAGCATCTTTCCTCAAGCCCCGAATCCCGGACACCCCATTACTACGATTATTCCCTGTCGAACTCGTTGCCTGACTTGGTGTACTAAGAAGTTCAGTCCAATCACTATCTGTAAGCTTAGACTTAGGTTTTGATGGAGCTTTCGTGGTCGAAACTTCTTTGTCCCGATTCGAAACATGAACTGAATTATTATTATTACTATTATTATTATTATTACCATTATTATTACTATAAGATAAGTTAGCATTGGGATCACTGAAAGTTTGCCTTGATAATCATTATTTTCTTGTGATTTCTTTTTTAACTGATCCTTCAAAGACACAACTCCACTGGTTTTGGTAGGAGTGTCGAATTTTATCTCATCGGACGGTGCCTTCTCATTCTTCCCAAGCGATTCCGCCGCTTGCTGATCGATCTGAGCGTCCACCACATAATTCAGTTACAACTACTCTAAATCAAACTAATAACTTTTAATAAAAATAATAAATAAAGAAATGAAACGAAACCAGATCGATTAAATTCACAAATTCTCACTACATTCCCTAGAGATAAGCAGGAAACTAAAATTACGAAAACAAAAAAAAAACATTATAAAGAGGAAGAGAAAATCACTTGTTGAAGGAGAGTTTCTGCGACTTTGAGCTTGGAGGAGATCCAATTTGCCATTCCAACCTTGTTCCCTTTTCCTTATTTTTTTGTTAATCAGCACATTTTAGCTTGCGCCCTTTCCCTTTTTTTTTTCTGGTTCTGAAGAAAGAATTTGAGTTAAACAGAAGGCGAAGGAGAGATTTGGTCGGGAGTAAGTACTAAACTGACAGCTTGGTGTTAGCCGAGGTTTGATCGATCAAAGGCGAGGGAATGGTTGGGCCGTGTTGACGGTGAAGGTCACAGACTGATGCGAAGTTATCGAAAAGTTACGGCACGTGAAAGGTCCACGCCAATGACAGGTCACACGTACGCGACTGTGACTGACCAACAGCGTCGGGCGGGTCGATCGGGGCTCTAAATGAGGGATCGCTTGGCAATTGCCACCACGAAAGTTTCGTGTACAAAATTATCTTACTAAATTTAAAGTTTATATTTTTATAAAATATGCTTTTAAATATCAATAATAAAAAAATTATAAAATATAATTTTGAAATATAAAAAATGTAAAAGCATTAAGTAAAAAAATATAAGATGTAATTGTTACATTTAAAGATATAATTATAATGATTAACTAAAGAAATTAACCCAACTTATAAAAGCAGGGAATCCAATAACTATACAAGTAAATCAATACATTTGTTTCAAAAGAAAATGAAGTAATACATTAAGTAGGTGTTTGATTCTTAAAGGTTTTTAACCTTTAGCTTTTACAAAAAGTCCATTTGGATTTTTAGAGGAAATTATAAATCAATTCATTTTTTAAAAATGGTTAATATGCAATAATAAATATATAATGAGATTCTTTATATTCTCACTTTACACTTTAATCTTTCATAAAATTATACAAAAGAATTATATTTTTTTCATATTCATATTTTCTTCTTTGGTCAAGTTTTTTCATGATTTCATTTATTTTTAATTTTTAATTATTAAAAAATTTAGTTATAATACAAATATGAGACTTGATAGCGATAAACATCTTATCAAATTATCTTATCTAAACATAAATTAAGATAAACATTTTATCATTCTTAATTTAAATCATGAAAAAAAAATTTCAATTTAAGTGTGGTGGACTTTGTCTAACACTTTCTTCTTGGATTATTCTCTTGTAATATGTTTGGTTGGGAGGAATGGAATAGTCATTTCTTCTCTATTCTTATTCTTAAGATAAAACTATATTTAGTTCAATAGAATAGTTGTTCTTCGAGATAATCATTCCTTAAAAAGCCTGAATAGCCATTACCAAGTCTCTTTTGGTAATGGCTATTCCAAATTATTGAAAATAAGAAAAAGAGTTGATTAGATAAATATACCTTTTTACAATTTACAAAATTAGTTTATAAAAAAAATACTAAATCTATTTTTTTCTCTCTCTTCCTGGCTTCTCTTTCAAAAGCACAGAAAACACAAAATTTTTTACTTCATTTTCAGAAAAAGGAAATAAAAATATTTAAATATTATTTAATATATTAATATTATTTAACTATAAACAATATTATTTAATATTATTATTTGAATATAATATATGTAATAAAGAATATTATTTAGTATTATTTAAATTTAATGAAGAATATATTTTCTTTTTTAATATTAAATATTATTTAATTATAATAAAAATTTTATTCATCTTTTAATGCAAAATATTATTAAATTATGATAAAATATATTTGTATTTTGATGAAAATATTATTTAATTATAGTAAAAGTTATTTTGATTTTATTACTTAGACTATTTTTATCTTTCAACAAAATAAATTCTTTAATTTTAATAAAGAGTATTTTTTTTCATCATAGTATTTTTGTTTTTTTAATTAAAAAACTTTTAAATTTTAACAAAAGGTATTTTTATCATTTACCCATTATTCCTTAACTATTCTTAAAATTATTCTTGCGAATCAAACAATGGAATAAGTAATAATAGCAATTTCTATCATATTCCATTCCCAATAACCAATCTACATGATAGTTATTCTTCTCTTATTCTATTCTCTTGAAATAGTTATTCTATTCCCATTATATTTCTTCCAGTAAACCAAGCATGCTGTTGGAGTATAAATGGATTAGAATATCTCTTATCAAAAAGTATATTGATCTCTTGAGCATGTGAAGTGGTTTCTCTAATAATCACTAACACACATTTTAATTTTACTTTAATCCAAAAGTAATCTACAACTTGACAAAATTCAATGTGATAAACAATGTAATTATGTTATATATATATATATATATATATATATATATTTAAGCTTTAATTGAATAAAAGGTCTTTTCTTCACTCTTAACACAATGAATTTTACCTCATTAAAAGTTTCCTAAAAGAAAAGAGAAAAAAAAATTAGGCCAGAACTAAGAATTTGCATAACTTTTATTTACAGTTTGATTCTTACATTGTCTATGATGTCAGTGGTAAAATTACTTTATCTTACCTAGAATATAATCTAATAATTTATATTTTAGTATTCTATTCATTCATATGAGATTATTAAAATTATCTTGCATGGAGGCTAAGACGAAGATACTATTGGGGGAAAAATTCTTCAATAAATTGGTCAATATTATGAATATATATGTGAATGTCCTGACTTAAAAAATTCAGACCAAGTCAAACAGCGTAACAGACCAGATAGAAATGTAATTTGATTTGAACTCAATTATATATATATATATATATATATATCTAAATTTGAATGTAGATTAAATTGCATTAAGATTAAGATTTAATCCATCCAAATAAAATACCTTAAGCATTATCTCTATCTTGTAAATTCTATCTAGATAAGGGATTATTAGCCTATAAATAGATTCTTTACTTCATTTATAAATACACAAGATCTTACTATAAGACATCATAAATGCCTACACATATACACATTAACAAAGTTAACATAAAAAAAGAAAATCAAAATACAGAATTGGATACTAACATTCAGTCATTAATGTCACAGGAATGAGTTTCTCTACTTAAAGGCACTTCTAAACTTTAATGTGTATTTAGAAAATGTTGAGCTCAGGGACCCATATCTGGTTTTCTTATTATGTGTGTGTGTGTTGTTTTCCCATCAAAGACGTAACCGAAACAAAAAAAGTGGGCATGTCAAAGTGATTAATAGAAGGTTAGTGAAGAGTAAGTGATATGCAAACCATAACTAAACATAGGTAACTAACATTCTCCCACTTGATCCATATATTTTACTTAATAATATCCAAAATTCGCGTATCCTTATTCTTAAGAAAAGAAATAAAATACATGAATTATGGCGACAAGTCCTCTAAGAACGAGTATTATCTTCCATGCATCACTATGCATTCTATTTCTTTAATGTCAGCCCATCATAACTTAATGAATAAACCTTATGTTTTATTTTAGGTCCAATAATGGTTGTTATTCTTAAAATAAATGTGTACACAAAGATGAGAAAAAACACATAAATGAATAAGAGTTTCATTACAAATGATAAAAGTCCAAACAACAAAAAATCACATGATGGAACGAAGTCCTATTCATGCGACATGATCCTTAAATTTCATTGGTGGCATGCCTTTTGTTAAAGGATTAGCAATTCAGTGCTAACATGCTCAATGACCACTTTGTTCTCCCTGATACGTTCTATTATGACTAGATACTTGATATCGATATATTTACTTTGATTATTACTTTTGTTGTTTTTAGACAAAAAAATCGCAACTGAATTATCACAATATATTCTCAATGGCTTAAAAATGGAATCCACAATTCTAAACCAGATATGAAACTCTTCAACCATAACACCATATGAGATAACCTCAAAACAACAGACAAACTCAACTTCCATGGTATAATAGCAATTAAGATCTGTTTTACACTCTTCCAAGACACAGTTTCGCTAGCAAACATAAATCATATCTAGATGTTGATTTCGTGAATCAACATACCCAGCAAAGTCCATATCTGAGTAACTACCTTTAAGTTATCAATTTGCCTATACATAAGCGTGTAATCTTTGGTCCCTTCAAGGTACCTCATCACCTTATTTGCAACTATCCAGCGGTTCATACTTGGGTTACTCTGATATCTGCCCAACATTCCAACAACAAATACAATTTCAGGTCTTGTACAAACCTGAGCATACATTAAGCTTCCAACAGCAAAAGCATACAGAATGTTTTGTGTTTGTTCCGTTTCAAGCTCATTTTTCGGGTATTAGTTCAAATTGAACTTGTCACTCTTCATAATGGGTGCTACATTCGATGAATAATCATTTATTCGAAACCTCTTTAAAACCTTATTAACATAAGTTTCTTAAGATATGCCCAAAATGCTTTTAAATCTATCCCTATGGATCTTAATGTCAATAACATAAGATGCCTCACCCATATCCTTCATATCAAAATTCTTAAAAAGAAATTGTTTCACCTCATGTAGCTACCCCTTATCATTGGTTGCAAGTGGTATATCATCCACATATAGAATAAAGAAACAGATTTTACTCCCACTAACCTTCTAATATGTGAATTGATCCATGATGTTCTTTACAAAACCAAATGAAGAAATTACATCACGGAATTTCAAATACCATTGACGGGGAGGCTTGTTTCAATCCATATATGAATTTTTGAACTAGCACACCAAATGTTCACCATCAGTAAAGGAGAATCCTTCTAGTTGTTTCATATAAACCTCTTCCTCTAAGTTCTATTGAGGAATGCTATTTTCACATCCATTTAATATAGTTCTAAATCAAAATGGGCAACTAATGCCATAATGACACAAAGGAAATCTTTCTTAGATACAAGAGCAGAAGTCTCTATGTAATCGATTCCCTCTTTTTGAGTGAAACCCTTGTAGATACACATTTACATCCAATGGCCTTTGCACCATTAGGCAACTCAATAAGATTCCAAACTCCATTAGATGCCATATAATTCATCTCATTTTTCATGGCATTATACCATAATTCAGATTTTTTGCAACTCATGGCTTGTGAAAATGTTTCAAGATCATTTTCAGCTCCAACATTATAGTTAGCTTCCTGTAGATACATAACGTAATCACTAAGGATTGCTGATTTCTTCATCCTAGTTGATCTTCTTAATGTTGTATTAACATCTTCCTCAAGAGCATATTGCATAACTAGTTGCTCAACAATCTTTGAAAATTGTCGAACAACAGGATCTACTAGATCATCATCAACAACTTGTGGAACTTCAATAATTAGTTGTACAACACCCGTTTAAATTTCAGAAGTGTTATGAATGACAATCAATTTGTCACTTAAAGTACGAGTTTGAATATCGCAATGATTTTTCTCAAAAATTAA